CTGGAGAAGGGCCAGACTGACAGAGCTGCAAGGCCAGCCTGGAGAATTAGCACACTTCCACAGGGGAGTTCCCTAAGTGGGGTATTTACAACTCAGAAAGCCTAAGGCAATGCAAAGGGCACACGGGACGGGGAGGACCCTGAGAACACAGCCAGGAGGCGACTGCCACACTCTGCACAACACACATGGCTAAGAGCACAGCAGAGGTGAGGAGGAAAGGTGGGCAGAGGGCACCGTGAACAGGGAACTCTGCAGAGAAACAGCATGGGGGTGAGAGTCACGGGCGGGGTGGGGGAAGATGTTTGAAGGCTGTAATCTAGAGTGGCTGGTGAGGCGAGAGGACATTACTGAGCAATCTGAAAGGACTGGTAGGTGGAAAGCGTGGCCGTGTGGAAGATGCCAGCAGAGTATCATTCATACGAGGTCTAGGAGCAGCAGGAAATTCAGCTCAAGCAAGCAGTGCCAGGAAAAAGTCCCGTGAGGTGAAGGAAGGAGAATGAAGCCCAAGAGATCAGGCGGTGTAGGGGGCAGGGCCAGGAAGTCACTCTGAAAAAGGCCTAGTAAACCAGACCCAAAAGGAGTTCACAGGGCCTCTGAGAGAAGACCCACAAGAGGAGGATGCCAACTAAAGCAGGGGCAGAGGCCTGATCGTCAAGTCTGGACAGCTAATGTGTCCCAAGCCACAGGGTGGGTGTGAGCGGATGAAGACCACAGGAAGGTCTCTGAACTGGTAATCAGGAAGTGAACAATTCAATAACATGAATTCAATCTAGAATTTGCTGAAAGCCTGACTGCTCTGTGACCAGAAATGATAGGGGAGTGACATGGACAGACAACTCTTGAAAAGGCTGCCACCCAAATGATGGAAAAATTAAGGTTGGGTGAGGAGGATGCTAAGGCCCAAACAGCTGGAACAACACTAAAGTGCCAAGGCTTCTTAATTTCACTGAGGTTGGAAAAACTGTAACTTTGAAGTCCTGTTTTATTATTGGATGTTACAGATAATGGTAGCGACAGGGTTTTTATTTCTGGAAACATAGTGGGCAGTCTTGATCAAATGAAACTGTGATTTTTTTCAACTATGAACTTTTACTGCTGTTGTGAGATGTCCATCCTGAGAATAGGATGGGGTGTTCTATTCAATGGGAGTGAAACAAATTTTAGTTATATTATGGAAACTTTCCTAATTTAGTATTCATAGATATAATCTATAGTATAAAATACAGTATTCCACATCTGCTTTAATTTTTCTATTTGTCATTTAAAGAATTAAAACACTTTCAATGACAGAAGTGAGACAGTAGTATATTTTCCATGAAGTGCTAACACCACATAACTAAACAAGCCAAGGCACTTGGTTTTACTGAGCTCATTTTTCACATTCTGAGTGCTCGCTGTCCACCATGAAGGCCACCAGAACTCTCCAGCTGACTAGCCTTGTAGCCTCAGCTGTGAAATGGAAACCTGTGAGCTAGTGTGATGGGGTAGCGTGCTGCTATGGCAGCCAGTGGATTTATGATCTTAGTTTGGGAGAGTTACAGAGAGAAAAGGATCAGGAGTTACAGGGACCAGCGTGGGCTGCTGTTGCATATATTAAATGGATCTTGAAACCTTTGGAGACAAGAGGAGATGCTA